TGTTGTTGTGTACTTCCAATGTTTTTATTACTTCCCTTCTCCTTACTTTAATCTTGAAAGAGCTTACTGTGTGGTCAATACAGTATACTTGGGTTAGTATATTATTTTAGAGGAAACGACAAAGCAAGATCTTAGATGTGTTAATGGCCTATTATATTGAACTAGCGTGTTATCAACTAGAATGTCTTTCTTGGATACTATCAGTTATCTATTGTTTTTGTTAGGTTAGTTAGCCAGGAATAGTATATAAGAATGTCAAAAGCCAATGTTAATTAAACGTATTTTTGTGTATTCTATAAACTAAATCCAGACCGCAATTATATTATGTGGTTTTAGAAAAGAAGAAGAGTTAGTCGGTTGCCTGATGATTAAGTATAATATTACATATTAATAAAAAAATTATATAATATTTTTGATCATGCTAATAATATAATATTCGACAGGAAATCTACTACTGAAGACGACGCCGAAACAAGAGTATAACGTGTGAAGATAGAAAAAGTTTTCCAATGAATCTCAATGAAATATAAATAATACTTTCATTTAACGAAGACTGCAACGATCAATTCCCACTGCCATAATTTAAATTGTGTGTATCGACGTATTTTTCTTACTCATAGACAATAGTCGTAGTATTTACAAATGACTTCAGTCTGCTTTCTTAAATTTAGGACTAAGTTTACATTTTTTGTGCTTAAACCAAAATCAGTATTTAGTAGTAAAAAAAAACAATGTCAACGTTTTTCAAATATGTCAAGAGTAACGCTTAATTCGCACCATTAAATTTTAGTTGATCAATTTACGCAAACAATATTTATTTGTACCGAATGAATCCGTAGCGCGGAATTCCGAAGGTGGAATTAATATAACGGTGCTAACCAAGAAGGCGGGATAGTGAACAATTTAGCGCGTGCATATTAATGTTGAAAGAAAACTTGTTTATCTATTTAAAAAAAGATGAATGTCAAAAGAAGTATCCATGAAAGAAACTCCATTTTGAAACGACTTATTAATGTTATAAGAAAAACTTCTAAGAAAATTTTGTAGGTTAACTTATTGACGAAATCAGTTACACGATAGGTTCTGATGTGTCAAATCGCTCTCAACAAAAGGCTTGAACAAGTGAAGAACTTGAATCGACTTTTGTTTCTTTAATTTAACGAAAGTCAAATAAAACCGCTTTCGTTTTAATAGTTGATCCCAAGTTGATCCACTAAAATTTACTTGTGTGAACTTTCGTATTCTAGAATACCATTCGATCTGTCGAAGCTCATACTAATCGGCACTAGAAAATCTTAGAAATAGCTTTAGCAATTTTCATTACGTGCGTGTACCGGGTTTTCAACGAACAAGTTATCCTACGTAATATTCCAACTATGTTGAATGATTAGTGTCGTTGGCAACCTCAAAAATCGCTAGCTTTAATAAATATTTAGTTTTAAATATCAAATAGGCTATGGATTGAATTAAATATGTAGAATCTATTTTCGTACTCTTTAGATCAGAATTAGAGTTATTGCATCATTTTATTAATATGTATATCACAATATGATGTAAAACTGAATTAAATAGGTACATACGGAATTGAATTATTTACGTTTTAAAGTATAGAAAAGAATAATCAAGTTTTGTTTACGCCAAATTTACAACTTAAAAAACTTAAACTAATTATTTAAAACTGTCGTACTACGAATATATGTGTAATTAAAGGAATTATAAAAAAAAACATATTACATTGAAATGACAATATTTTTTTAGAAGCCATGAAACTCTAAACATTTTAATAAAAAATTTTTCTTCTTCTTTCTTTCCTATTACCCTCTGCTGGGGTTTAGGATTCGAATCAAATTCTAAAATGATTCGAAAATTTAATTCGAAAAACATATTTTTGACTTAATTGCTATCAAAGGTAGTATGCGATACCTGGGGTTATCGTAATTGGTGACCATCATTCATGAACTAGGGCGCGAACTGAGCAAGTAGCTGCACTGACATGTATCGCAATATATTTAATAAATAGATTCAATTTAAGATACTCTTTAATAAATCTAATATAACCATACACTCTATTCTGGGTTATTTTGCTAATTAAGTCTCAAATTATAAAATACTCAATTAAAGATTAAAAATTATCTAAGTAGTCATAAGATTTAGCTAATTCAGTTGTCTTGCGGTTTATGTAAATAGTGTTGTGTGCATTTTGAGCGTTTTAACACGAAGAGTCCACCTATTTTGTAAATAAATAGATTTTTACGGATTAATGTAGTGAACAAAAATTCACGCTAAGATGTTAAAAACAAGCTTTATTAGGTATTCAGTAGAGATTGCCATACTTATTTTTATTGAATTTTTAAGTACAATTATGATGTATGTATGTAGTAAAATAATATAGATAAATTATTTGTATTCAGTTGTAACCAAAGTAGAATAACCGCTCTGTGGTGAATACTTTTAATACAAAATGAGAATAAGCCGCGACATGCGTGCATTATATTTCTGTTTTTTCAATTATTAGAATAAACGAAACGTACTTTCTTCGCTTATCCAAAAAAAAAATGCAAAAAGATTTTGTTACTCACGTCCTGTACCTTCTTGATACGACTTTACAAAATAACAGCACAAGTGTAGGTAAACTTAACATATTTTAACTTTGTAATAGACAGTAGGTAATGAATGTCTCGTCGTGGTTTCGTGTTAAAACCAAGCAGGATTCCTTTACCTACTTCATTTAAATGAATGATATTTTATGAAAAAATTCAAAATTCAATGGAACGCTGTCATGTCACGTGACAGGAATGTACTACGTAACAAACTAAGTAGGTACCTAAGTTTGACTAGCGTCTCGAGCCGGCCCTTATAAATTTTGCTCTGCTGCATTTTAGTAGATCCTAAAATTTTGGGATTAACAAACTATTATGAACAATTTGTAGTGATTTTCGTGTAACAGTCAAATTACCGATTGAAGAAACTGATAGCTCATAGGTACCAATTAAGCGCGGTAGATTAAGTTTTTCACAATTAATTGAATCTATCATTACATTCCACTTTCCAAGAATTATATTTGTGTCTAGTAAAGCGTGTAGTCAGCGTTGATTTTGTACGTAAATTTTACAAGCCTTTAATTGTGGTACAAATTTGTTTTATAAATAAATTTGCAAAATAATTATTGCATTCTTTATTGTACCCCCTAAAATGGAAACTTTTACATTTCATCGTAGCCTTAAGCTTAAAGTGCCCAGCATATAGAGAGATGCTCAATCACGGATATAAAGTCCCAGGCAGGTGGGTACCAATTTGTGTATAATAATACGTACCTAAGACGTTCACAAATTCAAAAGCAACTTCAACAGTGAAGGAGTAAGATCTTGGACTATAATTAAATGAAAACTCGCTACATTTAAATTTGCATAATTGTTGATGGAATCGCAAGGTGAAACAATGCAGACTTCGACATGTCTGTGTTAGATGGGCGGGGTCATTCACGTCGTGGCTCGTGATGCTTATGGGCTTCAGTAACCACCTGACAGAGCTTTTGGCGGGAACGCGAAGAGCGTTAGTTGTGTGTATTATTTTATTTTGTTAATTCAGTGTTTGTTTGGGTACAAACGTACGAACGATGTTTTAATTTACGGTTGAGCATCTGAGAAAGTCGCTAAATGTGGCTTCTCGGGTGCCTTCAAAAATTTCCACTGAAATAACTGCAAATAATCACCATTTTACTGCGAATTTCATCTCATGTTGTTTCATCTAATTTCATTCCAATTGATTACAGTCTCAAATAAATCATCTTTAGCTCGTTTGGTTGTATATTATTTTTCAAATAACAAAATATGTATGTGTGTACATGTTTGTTTAAGAATTGAAGATTTTTATAAACTCAACACTCGAAACATTAGCATTGCACGAGAATGACCCGGTTCTGTCTTGATTCTATTAATTTAAGTCAAATTATGCGGGTTGTACAATTCTTAATCGGAAATACCAAAATAATTAAACAACATCTAAAAGTAAAATATTTCATAATCGAAGAGCGTAGGGGGGCATCTACTAGCACGGCAATAAAATGTTATGCCGTTGACACTTAAAATCAACGGCGAGCATCCCCGTCTCGAGGTCCAAAGGTGATTAGGTCAACAAGCCGCAGACTCCGCGAGAGACGGTGACAAGAGACATTTCGACAACCCTAATCACTATAGCCGCGGTCACGCGCTGTGGTCATCATTATATGTATTATCTATGGTCGCCGCAGCACTGCAACCATAGATGATACACTCAATGAATAACAACTGCAACGTTCTGAATTCGGGCCTGTAATTTCTAGCTAACACGATCGCTTTACCCCCATATAACGGTTACGTGCAACCATGCTGTACTTTTGAAAGGTAATTTCTGCATCATAGTTTATGTGCGACTATCAGCTATCGTTTGTAGAAGTCACATGATCCAGCTTTTGTCTATCTTTTTCTACAAACGTTTTCGGTAGTAGATCGTAATCCTTATTTTGGTTGGCTTTATACAGTCGAACATACGGTTCAACGGAACGTAAACCAGTTCAACGAAGGTACACCTAAGCCGTTATCTGCGATTTGACTAGGCCCCTATGAATGCGAATATACGTGATCATCAGTTTTATCTGAAATATCAATGTGATTTTTTTGAGAATTAAAATTTAAAGGAAATGAATTAAAATTTAAATGTTTAATTAGTCTACATACAACGGTGGCATAACATAGTACCTTCACACAATAAAGTTCCTGATGTAATTATTTGTCTGTTAAATAAAACAACACTAACTTTTATCTATTTATTCATCAACATTTATATCTACATTTGCACAAGTAATATTTAACTTAAATTTACATCAGTAAACTGTACCTACTTCAGACTGACATAATACTTATTAAGTTTAATGGTTATTGTGCCTATAAGCCAATTGTGGCTACATCGATTTTCGAAATTACATCGATTTTANATTATTTGTCTGTTAAATAAAACAACACTAACTTTTATCTATTTATTCATCAACATTTATATCTACATTTGCACAAGTAATATTTAACTTAAATTTACATCAGTAAACTGTACCTACTTCAGACTGACATAATACTTATTAAGTTTAATGGTTATTGTGCCTATAAGCCAATTGTGGCTACATCGATTTTCGAAATTACATCGATTTTATCGTTTATATAATAACTTATGGCATTCACATCAACCTTATTTATTTAGGAATATGAAATTACAATAAATTAGTAAAGGGAAGCAAATAAAATATTTACAAGTTTGTTACAATGGGACTAAACATTTTTTTTTCACAGAAGACGATTGAAAATATTAATACTAATTTTCAAAATAAGCACAGTGATAACACGTAGGTAGTTTTCGTAGTTTTCAGGATAACATCTTACACATTTTTCAACTTGGGTTGTTCATTGATCAGTGTATTCTAGAAAAATGTGACTACATAATGAAATATTCGTTTGAACGTACATACAAGTCTACAACAGGATTCAGTTTAAACCAATCAAAGCTTTGACAAAACTTGAAATAAAGGTTTCATGGAATGTTTAAGCTCATAACAAAATGACTAAATACAAAATATCAAATTCATTTAAACAATATATCTGATAATATTGTAAGCAGTCATGTAAAATATTGGTTCTTTTTTTGTTTTATGGTAATATAACACAATGTCTAGTGGTTGAAAAATAGATGTCAAAAAACACTCCCAATCCAATACAATCCTGTTCATTACGTGAAAACTTAGCACAAAATGCAAATAAGATTTAAAATCGACAACAGCTATAATTTTACTTTATCTTATATACATCGAGAATATGATTTGTTAAATTTTTATAATATAATTCAGGCATTAAATCGGAACAGTGGAAATACTGTAAAAAAATAAAATTTCAAGATTTCTTTTTAATTTCTTCAACATGGTGCTAAGATATTCTTTACAATAAAGATAGATTTACAATAATGATATAAACACATCAACAACAGGAAGTATAAACAAGTTCAACACTGCAATCATATTGAAAAAATAATAATTAAGCTTTACACCTGTTAATAAGTTTCTTTGAGCACTGGACTGATATTTTCAATGTTGTCTCGAGGATAAAGCTGGGACGATCCAATGCTGTTTACTGAAAAAAAAAAGTTGTCTTTAAAAAAACCAAAATCCAATTTCATTTGAAAACAAGTTACATACCTGAAGGGGCCCAACTAGATACGATATACGATATACGAGATACGATTATGACATAATATTTGAAAAGACATGTACAATACAGGTAACCCTACTATCTACAGTACGTAACGGTAGATACGTTCCTACAAAGTCCAGTCTTGCACGAAACCGTGTTAAATTAGAAATCATTACAACAAGGAGAGTAATTTTTTTTAATGAAACATCTCACCTATTCCTGTATGTTTTTTTAGCTATTATATATTATAAATAAGCTGTAAAATTTCGGTTATTCTCATACATTGTGTGTACGTAGTGTATATGTAATTTTCTAAATAACTTTAAATAAAAATCTCATTATTGTGTTGTACAAGTACTGTGTTATAAAAGGGTTTTAGGGAATATTTCTTTTCGTGTTAGAGTTGAACTATGTGGTATAAATATCTTATTACAGGAGGGATACGTTACCCGTAAATTAATGTTAAAATACCTTTTTTTTTCCTACCTAAGCTGGTAGCCCAGAGAGGCTATTCCAGCGGAATCTTAACTAGTAGGTGAGCTCATGGGGCTCAAACCTGACGACGATGCTAACACGGACCCTAGCAAGAGCCGTGCTTCGCAGAATCTAGCACCGGATCGGAAACGCGACCCACTGAGAAGATCCGGCGAGAAACTCAGTGGGCTGTGTCTGAGAGTTAATTTACTCGTCGAGCCCTTCGTCGCAAGCGACGGGTTCGACGAGAACGGTAACCGGTACTTGAAGCACCTAGAAGCACCGTTAGTGGATCGGGAGGATCCGAGATAACGTGTTTAGGGCGACGTCGACTGATTTCCATTCTGTCCGCAGGATCGGGAATGTAGTTACCGGCGGCCACGATGAGAGGGTTCTCGTGTCGTGCCGCTTTATCGAAGTAGATTAAAATACCAGGAACACATACGTACAGGACATACATTTTTCTAACATGATTTTGACAGCTAGGTTACAAGATATTGTACCTATTTTTGATTTTGTGTTTCATTGCTGTTTTTTTTTTTAGTAAAGTATTGTATTTTTATGAAACTATCGTTTTATGTAGGCGCACTAACATGGTGGAGCGTAAATAATGCTCATAAAACGTTTTAAAAACATGAATTAAAAAAAAAATCAGGATCAATTTTTTTCCGTCCCATCATCAAAGGTGTCATTGTACTATCGTCTGTCTTCGTTTTCGGAAGCGGTCTCCTAACACCCAGTATATTATAGTATGTTTTTTTTTAAATATGAGTATTGGTAAGAATGGCCACTGAAATGTAAGTAAAAATAACTAAGTAAACAAAGTACAGTAAGATTGTGCTGCTTTGTAAATTTGATACGAGCAGTTTTTTTTTTTTTTTATTGCTTTGATGGGTGGACGAGCTCACAGCCCACCTGGTGTTAAGTGGTTACTGGAGCCCATAGACATTTACAACGTAAATGCGCTTAAGATATAAGTTCTAAGATCTCAGTATAGTTACAACGGCTGCCCTACCCTTCAAACCGAAACGCATTACTGCTTCACGGTAGAAATAGGCAGAGCGGTGGTACCTACCCGCGCAGACTCACAAGAGGCCCTACTACCAGTAGTCTTATTAATATAAGTCTATTAAAAATCCTGAGGTACACAAGATTAAAGAAAAGCTCTGCAACTTCAAGATGTTATCTTCAAGGTACAGGATCTTATATTTAAGAATTGTTCATAAGAATGCCTAAATTTCTCTTGCTGTGCCTGTTTCAGTTGTACCTTTACTTTATTTCCACACTTCAGTGATTTCATGAACCTACTCAAGTCACTATCATTGTGGTACCCAATTCTGCTGCAATGCATTCTAATAAGATAACTCTTATCCTTCAAATAGACATTGCATTCAGATGATTTAACTATCTGAATAGAGATATAGCTAACTATATAAATATAATATTGATTTATAACTATTATAGTTATATATCAATATGCAATGTCTATGAGTGTCAAGAGCAGTACATTCGGCGGAAAATTCACAATAATAAAATAGCATATCTTGATTCAATAATTTCAATTAAAGATTCTAATAAGAAAGTATTAGAAGTTGTTATCTTATGATCAGAGTTGTTTAGAGGTTGATGGTTAAAAACATCCATGGGACTCATCTTTTAAAAAGAATGCTAGTTTATTACCATCTAAGAAAATCTTAGGTTGGGTCTTTTAAATGTGTTTAGTTTTTTAAACATTTTTTTTTGTACTTTGGCATTGTATTATATTTTTATAGTATATGTAATATTAATTATAATATTATTATAATTTTGAAAAAATTTGACCAACAGCTAAATTTAACTTGAGTAACGGCATTTAAAATTTATACATACAAATCCAATAATTTCCAAAATGAAGAAGAATTTCCAATAAAGTTAATTGTACGTAAACTTTTTCATAAAATTATTTTATTTTATTTTTTTACATTTACTATTAATGTTATAAATAATGTTATTAATCACCAAGAGGTCATGGTTACAACCAGTGTTTGCAACGGGCCTGAAATTCAGAAACTCATGAAATGTGAAAATCACAATAGTTCATACGGGACTATTTAATGAAGTATTTTTATTAACCATTAGCTCATCATATCTTACCAATAAGATATAATATGGGATCTATGGGTTTAAAATGATATTAATGCTGCAGCATAGATTACATACTTGACTAATAGAATCAATTTACATTACTTACAATGTAAGATCTATATGAAAGTAGTTACTAAGCCAAAATAAAGTTAGGTATTAAAAATAAAAACAAGTTTTATTCCCTTAAGTTATAATTATCTTTCAAAACAGGCCGGTACAAATCAAGATGATGGTAGAGTTGTGAATCAAAACCACATACTAGTCAATACATGCACTAATTTCTAAATAAGCAACAATCACAATTATACTTACACTTGTTTTCAAGTATTTTCTTTTCTTAAGTTACTGGTTGCCCATTTTTACTTTTGATGTCATATAAATGCCAACAATAAGGCCAAAAAGACCAATGGCAGATCCAAAAATCTCAACGATGAGGATCTTGACGAACAAGGCAGCGTTGGCAGCATCCGCTAGAGCAGCACCAGAGCCCACGATACCAACAGCAATTCCACAGAATAGATTCACCAAGCCAACAGCGAGTCCAGCGCCGAACATCACGTATCCTGCCATCCAGTTCTGCTGCTTGACGGACACACTAGTAAATGGTTCAGAATATTTCTCCAGCATACCAGAGAGCACGATAGCAGTGATCAAACCGTAAATGGCGACGGCCTCGCAGAAGATGACGGAGATCAAATTCTTAGTCTTGATTCTAGGTGCTTTGACACCTCCTCCCACTATGCTGACACCAGTAGTGTGGATGCCCATGGCTGCTCCGACAACGGACAGGGCAACGGAAAAGGCGATTCCGAGGGTACCCCACATATACGGGGAAGTGTTCTCCAAGAACCATCCCAAACTTATCTGCTCACCCTTTCCATTGAGGACGTAGTACAGCGAAAATATCGGGATTGCAAGTCCCACCAGGAGCACGAATAAGTAACTTAAGAAGTATCTCATCTTGAGATTTTGGTTAAGGTATTTGGTGCTGTTTTTACCCGTTAATCCCGAAAGGGACGGCCTTTTTTCGCCCGATTTTTGCCTTGACAAGAAAACTCAAAACGGAGAGGTCTTGTGATCACAAGATGTCAGAGACAACGAAAATGTTGCCATTGTCGTAAAATCTATCCTCGTGACAAAATTGATTTTTGTTAAAAAATAAATTTGTCAATTTGTTAAAAATACAAATATCTGAAAACTACATAATTTTTTAACTAAATTGGTCGTTTGATATTAATTTAATTATGTTAGTCATTATTTTCCTAAAAGTGTCATTCCCATTCATCCCCATGTCTCAGAGACAACGTGGAAATTTAACGCCGCTTCTATGGCCTACAAGAGGGCTATGGCTATGTCGAAGCTAGAATACAGCCAGCATTAGCGAGCGACTGAAGAGCTATCCTTAGGAAAGCGGTGTATTTTGGTCGCACGTTGCAGAAGTAGACTTTTGTCAGTTTCCTACCACTGTGTCAGTTAATGAGAGTGAGGGAGCTCATATAGAGTCCCTTCTTTATTTCGCCGTAAAGTCGTGTTTTATATAATTAACACCACAGTTGAAACAATATAAATTTTATTGTTTTAGCGGCATAAACAATTCTATGTAATTATATTACATTAGTTATTAAACACATTATAAATTATTTTTTACGTTATAAATATTTGGCGGTAAAAAGGTCCCGTGTCACATACTTTATTCTTTTTCCCACATCTCGTGTGTTCCGGCTTACGCATCATAAAAATGTGCGTTCATAAACGCCACAAGAGTCTGGTCCATAGTACGAAAGAGAAGGCTGACTTTCTGATTTAGCTCTGTTGGACGGTTAAATTTGAGGGGATTGGGTTCTGTAGGTGAGGGACTATTTAAAAACACTCTAGCTTCATGATTAATATAATTATATTGCAAATACTTTGTACACTATTACACCATTACAATATTTTATTTTTATAAAAACCCTACGATGTTGCACTGCCCGTATTTAGATGAGAAGTCATTGTCATCACTCAAGAGAAGACAAATATCTGTTTTAAACATTTAAATAAGTATTCCAATATTCGAAATATGTAACCTTACATGTGTCAAGTGTTGCCTGCCACTGCTTACATATTCAAACTCCAACAAGCTCTTCGCGTTAAAGTCGACTAGGGGGACAGAAGAGCCACACCAACGAACAACTCCTGGTGTAATAATTTCTTGCTGGCCGTTTCACACAGTGTGCAGTCACTGCAGTCAGGCGTGAGCTCTGGCTCCTGGAAGTTCATAAGTTGAGTGAGCCAAATTGTATCCCCGTAGAAGTTTTGGGGGAGGCCTATGTTCTATGGCAGTGGACGTCTGTGGACTGATGAAAAGAAGAAGAAGAGGTTTTGAAAGCTTGTGCCCCATTAACACCTGCACTAATGTTTAATGTCTCTTCGGGCTTAAATTTGTAATAACGGTCGTTTATTAGGTTTTTAACTTCTGTAAAAATGCACGGAGAAAATGAAACAAAGCTGCTGGACGTTTCTTTTCGGGATGTGCTTGAAAAAAAACGAACATTTTATTGAGACTATATATTATTATCATCCTATACAATCTCATTTCATTGAATTTCATTTCAATTGATTAATGTCTCAAAATAATCAACTTTAATTCATTTCGCTCCTTATCATTTTTCATAAAACAAAAATAACAAAAGAGTGGGCTATACGTTGTGATATATTTGCCTCTTTAGTCGGAAAAATGGAATTACCACTGAAAAAGTAACAAAAGAGTGGGCTGTACGTTGTGATGTCTTTGCCCCTCTAGTCGGAAAAATAGAATTACCACTGAAAAAGTGACATTAATGAATTAATGACATTTTTGGCGGGAACGCGAAGAGTGAAACTGTGTGATTTGTTTTATTTTGTCTATTTAGTGTTTCTTCATGTTTAAATGTGTAATAACGGTGGTTTATTAACTGTTTAATATCTGTGAAAGATCCTAGAAAAAGTGAACTGAAAAAGTTTCATTAAATGACCACCATTTTACTGAGATTATATTATATCTCATATCATCTCATTTCATGCCATGTTTCATATTAATCAATTTCATTTCATTTCAAATTATCATTTTTCATTTAAAAAAAAAATATATGTATGTCAGCACACGTCAGGGATGGCTGAGCGGTAGGTTCGTCATCACTCGAATTCGATTGAACTCAGTTTAGTTAATAAAACTTTTTGAATAACAATTATTGAAACTCAACACACACAACTTTCACAATGACAGGATAAACCGACAGTTTCGTTGCACATACCGACAGACCGACTGACTGAGACGGACGGAATGACTGTCTGACACGGANTACCGACAGACCGACTGACTGAGACGGACGGAATGACTGTCTGACACGGAATGCCACGACTCTGTCCACGTACCGCCATTTTATACTGTGGCGTTACGTAGTCTACCCTTCATTTTGTGATATTTATCAAAACAACATCTCATCATTTAAAATAATAATCAAAACCACCGTCTTTTACTAAAAGTCGTTATCCACGACATGTATATATATCGACGCTTGAAAGGCAAACGTGATTAAGCGACAATGCGTGAACTTTATAATTATAAAGTTGAAATACCTGAAAACAAAATTTATTTTAACGAATCTAGCTGTAGTAGAATCTAGCTAGTAGCTGTAGGATTGAAATGATTTTAATAGACCTAGAAATATTTTTTTTTGCGCATCGAATATGGTTATTGCCTATCATCTATGTACAAAGCGGTTATTGTCGCTTAGTCACGTTTGCCTTTCAAGCGTCGATATATAAAAGATTATGCTTTATGGTATTTACCTTTATGGTAATACCTTTGCCTTTTCAGTTGGAAAAATAAAACTACTATTTTTGACAAGTGACAACAATGACATTTAACAATCAGAAATAGATTAGAGACAAGGAATCCTACATTATTTACGATTTGTTTAGTGATTTCGTGAAATTCTACTTTTTTATTTTTTTGCAAAATGTAAACCCATTTGAATATTGTACATGCATTTGCATAAGTTAAAATGCCGAAAAAATTAATGCTTTATCGTGAGAAAATGGATTGAAACTCGAATAATATGCAGTTCGAGATGTTGGCCGCTTATTCCAGGTTTATTGTTCGTCATTCTTACCTCGTTCTTTTTACTGTAAGTATTTTGTCCATCGTACTTACTGTGATCCCGCTAATTCTACACGAGCTACCCTCATTTTCTGATCCCATAGTCGGATTTGAAACCCGGGGTACGACGTTAGCACATCGCTTCATTGCTTGGGAAAATCTGAATGACGAAACGAGGCCGTCCAAACGTCTTGCAGTGAACCCTAAAGAAATTGAAGATCAAATCAGGATGAACCGAACTTACTACAACAAGACTCACCAAGACAGATCTAGATCAGGACGCAGAAGGCCAAAAAAGAAGGATCGAAACAAGAAAAACAAAATGGTCCTGAATATCACAGGATTAGAAAAAACTTGGTCTGATTATAGTGAATTAAACATTTCTGATGGACATGTACATTGGGGTTTTGGAATAAATGTAACAAATGAAGATGAACATGCTGTACTACTCAAAGACCATTCCAGAAAACAGTGGTTGTCTTTGAAAAATATGCAGAGGATAGCTGACAAGCCCATCAATCTTAATTACGCTTCTGGAACGTGTGGTCCACCAATATCAGATTATGCTCACTTAGTTATTACCAACACAGATAATTCGAGTTTATTGTCATACAAGAATGTTGAGAGATTGTGTAAATTTCAGTCATATCTGGTTGAATTAGGTGGGTATGAATATTATGAATTATGTCAGAGGACAACACACTCTGAAGATATTTGCTGTCCTGTATGGAGTCTCCCAAATTATATTGCTTTAATATCTGGAAAGGATTCCTGTGTCAACTTAAACAAGGAAGATGTAAAAAAAGCTGTAACTATTTTGAAGAAATGTGCAGGATATTTTCATAATTTTACATTGATGGCTGCTTGTGATTTAGATCACTGTAATGTTCCGAAATACTGTACTCAGCACAACGCAGTCTATAATTTGTTATTTTATCTTATAGATTCAGAAGCATTTTCACCATTGAATAATGCACAAAAGTTTGTAAAGAATACAATGCTGTTTTTGCCACTTCCAAGAAGTGATACTGTATTGCCATATTATAAGAAACTGGAAAACTCAAATATGTCATATGACAATCTTGTTATACCAGCTATTGATTTTGGTTTGAAAAATGCTCTTTTTGATATTTGGATCATTGAGGATACTTGGTTGATAGCATTAGGTGGCATTTTTGTGTTTGCATGTGTGTGGATATATACAAGATCATTAATTCTCACGCTATTTCTGTTTGCCGCCATAACATTTTCTTTGGGTATAGCATACTTCTTCTATGTATATGTGTTTAATTTGCATTTTTTTCCCTTCATGAATTTGTTAGTAATAGTAATTGTATTAGGTATTGGTGCTGATGATGCATTTATTTATGTTAAGATATGGAAAATGATTGGAAAGCAACTTATCAAAGATAATGTGGTCTATCAAGAAAATGGTGTGCTAGATATCAATATTTCCAGTGCTGGTGAGACTATTTTAGTCCAAATTCTAGAAGAAACTATGAGACATTCTATAGTTACTATTTTTATCACAACCTTGACTACTGCAGTTGCATTTTATGCATCATATGTAAGTTATATTCCTGCCATAAACTGTTTCAGTGTATTTGCCGGAACAGCAGTTCTAGTCAACTTTGTTCTCATGATGACTTGGTTGCCTATATCAGTATTCATTGTAGATGTTAAATTGTATGCAAGGAAAAAAACTTTTTTAGATTTGGTCCACAAGAATGTGAATGAAATGTGGGAAAATATCAGAATTGTTTTAAACAGATTTACTATAATATGTGTTACAAAATTCCATATAGCGTTTGTAGTGGTCATGGGCGCTTTAGGATTTATTAGTTTGGTGGTGGTGTTTTACTCTCCGGGCCTACACTTGCCAGATTCGAAACAATTTCAACTTTTCCAAACTTCTCATCCTTTTGAACAATATGAAATGCAGTATAGAGATAAATTTCTATTTGAAAGATTAAGCAAAGATCTGGGCACCGGCACTAAAATGCCTTTAAGGTGGGTATGGGGTGTAAAAGCTATTGACAATGGAAATCATATGGATCCTGCTTCAAAGGGACACCTTGTGTTTGATGAAAATTTTTCAATATCAGATCCCAAATCGCAATCTTGGTTGTTAGGGTTTTGTGCTCGAATTAAAGGTCAACCCTTTTATCAGCAGACCTTGGGTCCTTTACTCCCAAACTGCTTCATTGAAAGCTTTAAAATGTATATGAGTAGGCGATGTATTGATAATATTGATAAAATAAATAGATCACCTTGTTGTGAGACATCTAAATTTCCATACAAAAAAGAGGTCTTTGATTTCTGTATCATAAAGGCAATGGAATCATTGTATCAAACGCCTAGAGAACTCTTTATGCCTGGTGTAGCTGGCCCAAAATTTTTAAGAAGTGCCAAACCCCCAATTATTGCTGCTCTTGTTGTTGAATTTGAAAGTATTGTTCCATATTCACTGTCCTATTCTGAAATGAATAAGTTTTTCACTGAAGTCGAAAAATGGACACAAACAGAATTAGAAAACGCCCCAGCGGGAATGAAATGTGGCTGGTTTTTATCTGATTTTCAATTCTATGATCTACAAAGAACTCTAGCAAGTGGTACCATTGTAGCATTACTGTTATCTGCAGCTCTGGGCTTTATAGTTTTGATACCAGCTACATTAAATTTTGTAACGAGTGTATGCGCTTTGACTGCAATGATATTTTCATCAACAGTTACAATAGCTGTTCTAGTAATAAATAATTGGAAGTTAAATATTTTAGAAAGTGTAGCGATATCAACATCGGCTGGGCTAGCTGTGGATTTCAGTCTTCACTATGCCCTAAGCTACACAAACGCGTCAGGAAACAAAAGTGCTCGTGTTAAATATGCTCTATCAGCATCATCGAGTCCGACTGCTGCGGCTGCACTAACTTCTGGATTCGCTGGTGTGTTTTTATTGAGATCTAATCTTCTACCGTATTCACAAATAGGTACGTTTCTAGTTTTAATCATGACGGTTAGTTGGACCTATGCAACTTTCTTCCTTTGTTCGTTACTTCACATTGTCGGTAGGAGTTCGATAAAAGAATCTCCATCTCGGGAACGAAAACCAGTGTCTCGGGTTAATTCTGTTTCTTCAGGTGTACCTAATTTAGAAAGTCATGAGTTAGAGCACTTGGCTGATAGTAATCGTACAAATGTCACTCATTCTCAAAGTCCGTCTAGTGTTAGCGCAACAACGGTAGTTTTACACGATGACTACGAAACTCCTCATTGCAAAAATGGAAAAAATAGCATTAAAAATAATATTATAGTTGATGAAAATGACTGAATGTTTAGATGTAATATTAATAATAAGCAAAACCGATTTGATGCGTTCCTTTTTTACAGATGAGCAGTATTATTTTTAATACTTGTTTAGTGCATAGTATTTTTTTATTACCAATTGTTTAATAGCAGTTGTGTGCTGTAACGGTGACACATATGTTATTTTGAAAATTGTAAGAACTATACTATTGTTGTGACAATAATTATTGCGTAAATTACTCGATTGACAATATGAAATCTCGTGGAGCTTAGTTGTTAAAGTTTATTTTCAATCGAATGTAATAGTAACTCAATAGCCTAATAGTAATTTAAATTTAAATAAGCCACAATCCTCATTGACGTCTTTGGCTTAATGAGCTATATGTATGATAAATTATAATAGGTACTTAAAAAAAACGTCTGCGCGTTAATAAGTAAGACGCACGGTGTACTCATACCGAAGATACTATAAATATGCCGTAGTAGTTCGAAAGTTAATAAACACTACATGAATGAAAACTTTGTGGTATATACAGGCTCATGTAACCGCTGAAAACCTTTATCAACGGCTATAAAAACAAAAAGGATCTCAATAATGTGACAGATTAGTGGCAGCTACCCGTGCGGGTTCATAAGACGTCCTTTTACCATTATGTAACTTCATCCAGTCTCCTCCTTCTTAATTTTTATTTTTATTTTTTATTTAAATGTATATGCTCCATAAAATCAATAGATTGCGTTTAATTTTAGAATTTGTGAAAAATATTAAATATTTTTAAACAGCTGTTAAAATATTATTGATTTTAAATGTAATTCAGTTTCACAGTATTCCTCTTTTGGTCTAGTTAATATAAAGTATGGCAATTAACCTGAAATGTTGCTCCATGGTGTTAGTATATCGCGCCTTTCGAATTGAAGTGGTTTAACTAAAAAATTTCAGAAAATGTGTTTTATACTTTGAACGACTTATAAACATGTATTCTATCAGTCTAGAAAAGGGCAAGGTACTCATTCTGTCTCTTTAGAATCAAGCGCAAACCTATTAAAATTGAAAAACTACAATATTACAATTCTTCAATTACATTTTTGGTGTTTATGAAAAAACAAGAATTCTGGATTAAGCCACTTCAATTGTAAAGATGCGATATTACTAAAAATGTTTTATGTAGTTTAAACTTAATAAACCGCAATACAAGTATCCCTCGCGACTAGATTTGAATACATAATACGTTTTGTTGGTTTTTTAAAAAGTGACTGACACGCGATTTTGTCTGTTTCGGCTTTCGCGAATTTCTTGTGTCGGCTTCACTAAATACTGCGTGTGTAATACTGCATACTTTATGATGTGAAACATCTATATAGCCACTCTTAAAACTGATTTCTGCGACCGTTTTTTTATATTTATATATTTTTTTTAATTTTCCCGGCAAATGTATTTCCTGTCGTAAACTATCCTTTGTCCTAACTATCCTTGTGTATAAAATAATAACATTGCTTCACATCTGCCAGCCCTCCACGATGGCTTATTTTTTTCCTTCACCAAATAGTGGATAATTATGTATTACTGGGTAATACAAAGTGACGAAATGGTGGTGCGATTGTAGCATGGTCCATTGCTATGTTGAAATAAATTCAGCATTGTGAATTGTGCGATTTGAGGGCTTGTTTAAGTAATGTAAGGAAATAACTCCCACCAGTTGTTGACACGCCTTTGTAAATGTTAATGCAAATACTAAATCGTGTAGGCTTTATTTGCGAATAGATTATCAATTATCATCACGTTTTCAATCAGAAAAAAGAAATGGAAAATTTCACGAATTGTTTGCCAGACTTCTCTTTCGGAAACGTAAGTACTAAAGTACAAATAAAAAAAATATATTATTTTTTGTTACTTTTAAGATAGCATGGTTTATGTACTTTTGCGATTTTTTTAATCCTGTTTTACGTAGTAAGTAAAAGTTGGTGTTTGTCGAAACTGAAGATTTTATACAATAGTATTTAAGTACTTAATGTTGCCATTTAAAAGAATTAAAAGTTAATTTTTGTAAACAATATACATGCTGCTTTTATTTATATTTTTCTTGTGGGCTAGTCCGTAAATTTTTCTTATTGAATTAGTTACGGAGACGAGCTCACGACCCTCATAGTGCTAATTGATTACCTACCGACATAGTCATAACAATGTNTGAAGATTTTATACAATAGTATTTAAGTACTTAATGTTGCCATTTAAAAGAATTAAAAGTTAATTTTTGTAAACAATATACATGCTGCTTTTATTTATATTTTTCTTGTGGGCTAGTCCGTAAATTTTTCTTATTGAATTAGTTACGGAGACGAGCTCACGACCCTCATAGTGCTAATTGATTACCTACCGACATAGTCATAACAATATAAATTTCGCCTCTGAACTTGAGTGATAGCGGATTAGCTGTGCCCCTGGCATTTTTGACGCCTTTAAGGATTTATTTCATTTATTTTATTGCCCTTGTGGGCAGACAAGCATACGGCCTTCCTGATGGTGAGTTGTTACCGTCACCCATGGACTTCAGCAATGCCAGGGGCAGAACCAAGCCTCTGCCTACCGTAAAAATACGGAATCGTAACCGTTCATTATTAGGCGGGCAGTTATCTCGTCTATCGACAAAGGCAATTAAGAAAACATAATATCAAGTCTCAGATGTATTGTATGATGCTATCCCACTATTCAAAGCGGTAGGCATGGCATATTATTTGATCGCGTCATGACTAGTGAGGTGAAATGGAAAATCTAGTGCATTTTCGGAGTGCGACGCTCCCTGAGAATGACTAATCATTTTGAAAATCGCATAATTTTTCTCTTACTGCTCTTTCGTTCAACTTCCAAGTTGCCGCGTTTATTCTCAGTTAAATACGCATTTGTTTATTCTAAATAGACAAAAAGGTAAAAAACAAGTTTTTGTGTGTCAAAATTATCTATGGTTCATGTTAGCTTTGTAAAAAATGCATCATTTGTGTCCTGGTTTATTGTTTCTTTTTTTGATTTTTCTTTTATTGACCGAGCATGCAGACGAGCATACGGCCCACCTGATGGTAAGTGGTTACCGTCGCTCATGGACGTGAGCAATGCCAGGGGCAGAGCCAAGCCGCTGCCTACCAATAAGAATGTATCATAATTAAGTGACTTTTTGTTTTCCACTGGTGCTATGTCGTCTTGTTAGTCTACACTGGTAGGTACCACCACCCTGCCAATCTGCCATGAAGCAGTAATGCATTTCGGTTTGAAGGGTGGTAAAACAGAGACTTTAGAACTCTTGTATCAATGATAATAGTCCAGTGTTAGCAACACTTCCGGTTTGTGCCCCGTGAGCTCACCTATATTATGTTAGTGTGAAGCTAATCGAGTGAGAACCTCTCAAGGCTATCACCATAGAAGGAAAAAAAATGAAAGGTATAATACGGCATCTAAACGTACGCAATACAATATTTAAATAAACAACGTTGAAAAAGTTCACATTAAAAAAAAACAATTTAATATTAAGTTAAATGGCTTTTGAAACACTTATTTTTCATCGTAACAGTATGAGTCAAACTAGAACGTAACAATTTTTTTTTAAGTTGTAAATAATGCGACAATAAAAAACCAGCAGCGTAACGACAAGTTATTTTATTTGTGCGAGAAAGCAGAAAGCGGGGAGAAATGGCTGGCATGGCTTTTTTTATTAACACAATCCCTCCTTCGTTGGCTTTGGCTAGTGGCAGTGGCGGAAAGGGGCGTGTTAACATGGCTTGGCGGCATGGCTGGCGGCAGAGCATGGCAGCTGACGTCACGTCCGTTACATTCGGCCATCCTGCAACAATTGCTCCCGCAATGGGGAATACGCAAAAACATTTAGCTCTCTAATAAATCAAAAAGGTCTTCAGTTACAAGCTGCTCATCGGAACTGCCAGCGCTATCGGACATATGGGCTATACTTTTATAGGGCCTTAATGAATCTGCTGGTACCAGTGAAGCTTTGTAACCTCGTAAGCCCTTTTTACTTCTAATTCGATACCGATCGTTACCATCTACTTTAGTTACTACATCCGGACCAGAGTATAAATCTTCTAATTTGGTATTTATCTTAGCGGCGCTACTAACGAGTTGGAGACTGTCTCTACAATACAAGATCCCTTTTCTTATAAACATGAGCATTTTTTTCATATCAATTTTGTGTGTCATTTTTGCACTCGCTTGTTCGACCCTAGTTGTAGCTATCTTACGCCGTCAACAGTTTCTGGTTCGCGACCAGGAACGGAAACATCACACGTTGACCTACCAGAGCGCGCAAAGATTAAATCACTGTTAATTGTGTTGTTTGTGCCATAAATGATAGAGTTCACTAAATTATTTGAAGCTTCACTAGGATCAGTTGCCCGCAACACATAAAATTTTGTTTAGTTTATTCAACCTGGCCAATTAGCGCGCGGGCAAGCAATACCTACCGTTTAACGTATGCCTAAGCTGTTCATCTTCTGATATATTTTTTTTAAGTACGTAAAGCCGTAAAGTACGTACGTCGTAAAAGCCTTCCCATAGTCTGTCACCACGTGATTGGGGTATCTGAACAAACCGTATTAATATAGTTTTCAATGCACGAATGGTCTCGACTGAATTTATAGTTCGCGTTGGTTTAGCTATCACAAATTTAGATAACGCATCTATCATTACGAGAATGTACTGGTGTCCTTAGATGTCTTACAGATCATGTGATCTATGTACTGTACCATGCGTATAGTATCAGATGGTTTAGAGATCGGATGTAGCATGCCTTCTTTTTTTACCATAGTTACCCTTCTCATATGTACAATAAAGACATACTGCCACGTATATCCTAATAAAACCCATCATTTTAAGAAAACAACATAACCAATGTCGTCATGGTGCATTTGTACAATTTTCCATCTAGCAAAGGGACTGCGAGTCGGTTTCCGTTAAAAGTTTTTCGATAAAGTGAGTTTTCAACTAGTTCATATTTATCTTTAACATCAGTCAGCAGTTTTATTTTTTTAATTGCTTTATAATCGAACTAAGCTTTTCGTCCTGACATTGCACAGTACGGAATCAATCAGTAACTTTAAGACGGTTTACGCTCACCGTGTCCTCAGAATGCTTACTAAGCGCGTCTACAGGTATCATAATATGTTCAACAGGTCTAAGCTCACATCATTGTCATAATCTTGTATAAAAAGCCACCATCGCGCAATGTGTGGTATAGTTGCGTTTGGTAAGCGTAGCACGAACCCCAGTACAATCAGTTACTAACATATCATGTTTACCTACTACATAAACACGGAACCTACGAAGCGATTGTACGACTGCCGGTGTTTTGAGCTCTTAACTATGATACACTCTTCCTTACTAGTAAACCGGCTAAAATACATAACAGTCCGCAGTGAGTTGTCCGTTTGTTTTTGTAATAGTATACCAGAAATTATTAACTTACACTCATCGGTTTCTATTTCTATAGGAAGCATAGGATCATACAAAGCTGGCGCAGGTTTGGGACCTACCTATACTGTTTTTCAGTTGTTCGAAACTCGCGTTTTGTTCACGGCCCTACACCCATGATTTATCTTTAACGCATTCAGTCGCTACTGAATTCAGTGAAGTGTAATACCATTAAGTAAGTTAATCTATTGAATTCAGTAGCAAGGATGGTTTCTGACTGACTAAATCATTTAGAAGCCTAATAAGAAACGCATATAAGAAAGTGTAATCGCATTTAGTTACTTAATGGTTTCAGTCATCCCCATAGATTATACACTTAATATATTATCGACCCATAGCTCTCCGTGCATGAGGACGTTTTAGTTTGTTTTTTGCTTCCGAATAAAAAGTATTAATTTCGGTCGCCTTTATTTAATGTGACAGACATTTATAAATAGCCCGATGTGTTTCAGGGATAGTTTTTGTCATCAGGGGTTGGGATATTGAAGAACTAAATTTTAAATCTTGATACGAATTTCCTGTTGCAATAAATCTTCATGTTACAACCAACCTTTCTTTTGGACTTATACTATCGTAGGATTAGATATGTAATAGTTATATAATAGATATATAATAGACTATCGTAGGATAGTATCCTGCTTTTGAATAAACGGTGTCACAAGGTTTAATATTAGGTCAAACGAGATCGTATCCATTTATAGATAATTTCTGAAGTCTGCTGGTTCTAAATCACTCATAATGTTCATATTTGCTAACATTCCGCGCAGCAATAAATATTTCTTCACAGATATTCTTGTTTTTATTATTTTTTATTTTGAGAAATTGAAACAAAAAACAAAAACAAAATAAAACAAAAAAACAAATTTTTTGTTGTTATCTAGACAATACTGGGGCCATCCTCTTACGCACACGACACGTCTTACTTCGTCGCGTTTAAACTGACAATTTATTCAGTAACAGAATTTAGAATAATGTAATCAGAAGCTTCTAAATTTGCTTCTGAATTCAGTCGATTAAATTCAGCCAAGTGTAATAAGCCTCTAACTGGCTTGGCGGCATGGCTGGTGGCAGGGCATGGCAGCTAACGTCACGTCCGTTATATTTACGAATTTGGCGAAGTTTACGTTTTTTTTTATTCTACCTATTCTATTAACCTCGAGGGCTTATTTTAGATTCGCCAAGCTCACGGGGCTCAAACCTGACGACGTTGCTAACACGAACCCTAGCAAGAGCCGTGCTTCGCAGAATCTACCACTGCATCGAAAACGCGACCTACTGAGAAGATCCGGTGAGAAACTCAGTGGGCTGTGTCTATGGGTTAATTCGCTCCTCGAGCACTTCGTCGCAAGCGACGGGTTTGGCGAGGACGGTGACTGCGAACTCTGTAGGGTCGCAAGTTCGACAGTTACTATAATAGTATTAAACTATAATAATACTTTTTTCAATCAAATGAATTGTCACGATATTATCTAATTTTTTACTGTTGTTGCAAACGACGGGTTCGACATGAAGATCCACGTTCCTTAGGAACCATGGTGCTCTGACGGCTATCTGCAAAAACGGGATTGAATAACTTGAAGGAGTTTCAACTTGGTGCGGGCCTCGTGAGCGAACACTACACTTGCATAGGTCATGATTCGGTTTCAAGCAACATGCGTGTTTATCTACAAAATAATTTACATGCCCAAAAGTTGATAAAGACGACTGTAGAAGACATTAATTTTGCTAAAGAGTACTTTGGTAACCAAGATAAGGGTGCTATGCTTAGCGTTTAAACGTAACTGCTATTACTAGTTTGTTATAACTTTTTATGTACAACACTACTCTACGCAAGAATCATAGAGTAAAATAGTAGGTAGCTTTATTAGATCTGTGATAAAACATTACATTACATTACATTGTGAGAGGATTACTCATAGTTCATACAATACAACACTATCTAATTGTATTACTCATCGACTCGATTCGTCCGTCCGCTTATTTTTTTGGTTTGTTGGAATAACAAAAATAATAGCTAAAAAATTATTGAAAAAACAAGATGTTTTCGACAAATCCAAATTACACCAAACTCAAAACCCATTTGAGATTAGCGATAAACCGTCTAAAATTATTGGAGAAGAAGAAAACGGAATTAGCGCAGAAATCACGGAAAGAGATTGCTGAATACATAGCTTCAGGTAAAAGTGAACGTGCCAAAATAAGAGTGGAGCACATAATAAGGTAAATTATGATTAAAAGCATTCGAAGACGTTTAATTTTTGAGCTCATTTAGTCTTCATCTTTAACAAAATCAAGTATAGTCGGATTTTTAATTAGACGAAGCCAGCTGACAGTAGCTAATGTCACTTTGTGAAATAATGTTGCTATATTTAAAGTAATAGTGATGCGTTCAGTTCTCGTTCAATCACATAAATGAACAATGAGTGTGAAGAGTTAATCATTAATATCAAACTATAAAAGAATATTATTTATATTTTACAATAAAATTGTATTGAAGTGATCCAATATAATAATATGTTACTAGTAGTATGTAACTACAATCAGTTTTTTTTTTATTTTCATTACCTATGTACCTATAATTTTTATATTTTATACATCTATAGTTTCAACTATATGATGCATTGGAAATAGGACAGTCTTACAAGCTTCCTCGCAATGTTTTTCTTAATGTTTAAAACACTCGGTATTCAGTACAGGTAGATACCATAGGAACATAATGTTTCGTCGAAAACTCGTTGGTATGTACAAAGCACGGCTAAAATTCGAACCCCGTGCCCGATATCGGCAGTTCGGCACACTAACTATTCACTAGACAATTGAGGCAATTTCATTAATTCAGGAGTTTTTTCAATCGTTCACTTTGTCGCAACACTATTTTTATTTCATCAAAAACTGACAACACAGTAAACGTCAGTTTACTTCGTCTAATAAAAAATCCGACTATAGGTACTTTACATATATTTAGGAGGAATTTTAATTACTTTTCCTTTTGAAAGTCTAGTCATCAATTATTTCAGTTTATAACATATCCCCATCCGTTAAGACAATGCTGATAACATTGGTGATAAAACCTGCCATCAATAAAATTATTGTTACTATTTCTATTAACTACTTCCTCAACTGGGATAAATAACTTTGTTCTATATAAAATATATTACTCGTTTTCCAGAGAGGACTACATGGTAGAGGCTATGGAAATAGTAGAAATGTACTGTGACTTGATACTAGCTAGGTTTGGTCTTGTCACTCAGATGAAGGAACTCGATGAAGGTCTTGCTGAAGCTATATCCACTCTGATATGGGTAGCTCCTAGGATGCACACAGATGTACAAGTAAGAGATTATTTTATTAACAGCTTAGAGGCAGTTCATATTTTTGGATATTTACAGATGCATATCTGAACTTAGAGAATGTCTTCAAATATACTCTTGACGTGAACCTTAGACAAAGCAAAAAAAACAGATTAAAAAGCTTTGTTGGAGATGGCAAATGTTGGTTTAGCAATAACTACAACAGGATCTGGCTGATTAATATTAGACTATGCCAGGGAAAGCTTTAACTTAATCAGAAGACAAAAGAAATTATTCAATAGGAGTTCAATTCCACTATATTATATATACAGTGGTACCTCAACATATGACTTGAATTCGTTCTGTAACCTTGCTCGTAGGTCAAATTGCTCGTATCTCAAAGAAATTTTCCCCGTTGAAATTAATTGGAACGCCATTAATCTGTTCCAGCTCCCATAAAACCACCTCAGTAATTTTTGTTTTTGAATAAGAAAAATGTATACACGAAGAAACATTTATAAATAACAGATACCTATTCTATAAAAACATAAAAGAACAAGTGAAGTGAAGACATCATCTTCTTTGGACCCATGATTATAAAAATAATTGTGATTATGTTTTGTAAATGTATAAAAAGCAAAAAATGCAAACCAAACATTAAATGTAGTGTGCGATTCGTCGTATCTCAAATCTTGCTCTCATCTCAAAGCAAAATATTGCTCGCTCGGTGGCTCATTTCTGAAAACACTTATATATTAAGGCACTCGCATATCTAGGTACCACTGTATAGTAGAATGATAGAACAAATGAGACTGTAAACTACATAGTTATTATTTTACATGTAAATTTTGCAAATAATCTCAGTACAAGGGTGTCACCTGATATGTATGATGAACAACAAGTTTAGAATAACGGTACAGTGATGTATTTGTTAATTTTAATATTTAAAATTGATACAATATAAAATAAATAGTGCAACTTAATCAAGTTCAATAAATGAAACCAATATTTTTTTGCAGGAATTAAAAATAATATCTGACTTGCTCACTGCAAAATATGGAAAGGTGTATGCTGATGCATGTAGAGGCGAGAATGTGAACACAATAAGTGACAAATTGAAGCACAAAATGTCTGTGCACAGTCCACCTAAAATATTAGTTGAGAAATATCTCATTGAAATTGCTAAGAATTACAATGTTGAGTACACCCCTGATGAACAAGTTATGAGGGCAGAAGAGGGTAAGTTAAAAGTAGAAATGTCTAATAAACAATTAAATTGTGCATATCAGGTCTGATGTGAAACTGGTGTTCACTCTTTTTGTGTGTATCTCTTTTAATATTGAAAGTATGTACATACTCTAATTCATATTTATTTATGTTTATTCTGGGTCTTGGAGATTTCCACACTATATTTCTGGTTTACAATTTGTTTCGTTCATAGGTCATGATGCGCTACTGATAGATGTAAATGGACCTCCAATGCCTCCGGGTTTCATTGGTTATCCTCCACAACCAACAATGCAGATGCCTAATCTACCACCTCCAACTGTACAACCCTTTACCTATCCGACTGTGAGTTTTTAATTAATTTTATTTTGTTGTTTTGGTGGGTGAACTTGCTTATGTTAAGTGATCACTGCATATCACAATGTGAATCCTGCCATCTACCTTGAGGTATGAAGTAAAATTTTCAAAGGTGTAATATAAAGGCCGTTTAACCCAAACACATGACTGCTTTGTGACAGAAATTAATAGAAAGTGGTACGTGACCTTGTGATTTTAAAATAATGTCCTATCGTAAGTAAGTAAGTAAGTAAGTAATATTTGTAAAAAAAAATTATAAAATGAACTTTTACCAATATTAATTTATATGCATAATGATGATTACAAGTTATAAAATAATATATAATTCTGATTTAAGGAAGCGTCTGGTGGAAAAGCGGGTGGCTTCATAGCGACGCCACCAGCAAGTTATGGAGTTCCGAACCAGCCTCCGATCGGGTACGCCATGCCTCCTGGGACAGACTCTAAGAATTTTAGCAATAGTTTTCTACAGGTAAGTTCAAATTGAACCATTTTCGTGTATCATGTATATATACATACATTCATTTCTAGACGCATTAATTATTTAGTTGATGTTGTTATGTATGTAGGTAAGTGGTTAGGTTAGTCTGAAGATGTAGCACTAATTTTATAAGTTAGGAATTTTGTGTATTTTGAATGTTTCTTTTAGATTGTTTAGTGAATTTGACAAAAGAAACAAAAACAAATGTTTAGACACTTTTGTCTGACATAGTACTATTTTTGGACTATAGGGGCCTACTACACTATGGATAACTGGCATTGATGTAGTCACTAGATATACATTTATAACATAGACACCAGTTTGAAACATGCAAAAATTTTATCAGATTTTACTTGTCTAACCTTTAATCTAGAATATATGAATGCTTCAGGATAATTGAAAATGATTAGTATAAGTTTTGTAGGTCTAATCGTACTAAATAATGTGTTATTTTCGAACCATAGCACATTAATCTACAAAATCTGGTGGTGGAGTCTATTGTAGGCTTGCACTGTTGATTACTGCCAATCTGCCTAATTCTTTTGTGAAACAATCTAGGATAGCGGTTTAATATTTGGGACAGTCGTTTTAAATTAAAAATTAAGACTTCTCAAGGAGGAACGTCTATGGAGCTTAATAAATTTGTACCATTTTAACCATGAGCTCGTTCACCCACGCAATGAAAAAAACTTAACACAAAGCAGAGAAAGGCACAACCAATTGGCAATGCATGCTTCTTGCAGATAAAAATGAATTATTATACTAATTGGTAGTCCGAGACAGAACTACTCACTATTTAGAGAAAAATAACCTTGTCATAATTCTTGGTTTAAATCATTTTCAGGAGGAAATGAGCAATTTACCACCCGCTTATGACAGCATCCATCACGATTTGGTAATTTTGATATTATTTTGCTTTGTTCTTAGTTGTAAATTGCAATTTTTTGTTAAAGCTTTAGTATATTTTCATATTATCACATTGTTTATTAGTGTTCTATATTGTTTGTCCATGTGTTTTAATACTAGTTCACTAATACAGTAGTACCATAAACCAAATTTTTACATACACTAGTGTTCACCCAATGATCTAAATTCGACCATAATTACTGACATCTCACTATTTCTATCCCAATTCTTTTAGGAGTTTTGTACGCGATTCGCCGGAGAATGGTCAGAACCGTTCTCAAAGTATCATACCAGCATACTGCAACTCTCAATTGACATTATTGGTGGTGGTAGAGTATTTTGAGGCCGCCTGGGTGGGTACCATCATCATGCCTATTTCTGCCGCAAAGCAGTCACGTGTGCAATTTTGATTTCGACCTCAAATCTCTGGAAGGGTGTCAATAATGACGTTGTGATGTCGATTATTAATTAATTAAGTATTAATTTCAGCCTGCCCACGTGCCCACACCGCAGCCGAGGTCAAGGGCGCCGCCATCGAACTATTTCCCGGAACTGCCTGAGCTTCCCTCCGTGCCGTCCGACTTGGTTCTACCCTCAGTCCCAAACAGCAACAACTCGAACACTTCCAACAACGCCGCGAACGCTCCTGGTCCCTCTGATGAGATCGATTTCGATGATCTGAACCGGCGGTTTGAAGAGTTGAAGAAGAAAAAGTAAACTATCGGCTCACGTCATTAATGCTAGTTCCACATGTTTGAAACAACTTAAAGTTTCATGACGTATTGTAATGTCATCTTCATTATTGAAAATTCTTTTAGTAATCAAGTCAGTATTATTAAATATTATACTATAAAAACCGTCTGAAGCGACATCTATACTTTAAACACATTAACTAAGCAATGAATAGATAGCAAAGTATAGAGTATCATGCTTAAGTTGTTTCAATCATAGTTAGAACATCATATATTATTAAATATAATATTTTTTTACAAATATAAAATTATATGCTTATGCCACGATATATCAATATATTGATGAAGCATGCTAGAGAATAACACTGCGTAGGTCATATCCATTAACTAGTATACATCATGCCCGAGTCTCAAGTATATAATTGTATTTTTTTAAAGTTTAAGCAATTAACTTTTGTGTAATAAATATAATCAGAGCAATTTTTTTCTCAATTTAAATCTGAATTATAGCTGTATTGTATTTGTAACTAATGGTGCTCAATTTCTGATTTTGATTTGGTAAATTGATTGGTTAGCTAAAAAAACTGACTACAACTAAATTTGTTACTTAGCACATGAATTATGTAACTTCAATGAACATTTTTCTATTCTAATTTTTTATAGTACACTTGTATAATATTATTATGATTATTGTGATGTAATGTGGTTTTATGTAGCTCACGAAGAGCAAATAATATAATGTAAATATGTATGAATTAGTTGTAAAATTAAAGATTTTGTTATTTTTATTACAATTTATATTAATTCAAATATTACAAAAAAAAAAGAAAAAACGTTTATTCACAAGCATAGTATCTGTGAAACTCGACATATGAAAAATACACATTTCATTAAATAACTGTGTTTAATTTATAACAATCTCGTTCTTTAAAAATTTTAATTGTGCAGCGATTTCTTTAGTTATAGAATGGATTTATAAAAATAATGTACACAACAATTATTGCTATATAGGATAAAACGAAGACAGCATGATATTAAATAACAGTCTTATATTTAAAACCAGTCATGTTTTATAAAAGCCTAAGTACTTGTTGGGAGCAGATAGAAATTTTCCTCAAGGTGGCGTCACTTGGGTTTGTAGTGCTGTCCCTTTTCAACCTGCTGTGTATCTGCGTATGCGATACTATTTTTGATTGTAGTTGAATTTTATTTGGAGATTCCGCTAAAAGAGTTCCCAGGGCTACCAACCCTCTGTAATCAGAAAAAAAGGCGTATTAAGATTTGTGATATAAATCATTCTACTGTTTGACACAAGTAAGTTTATGTAAAGTGTTTTTTCAAAACTGAAACTGCTTTACGAACAGAACTATCCAAAGGCATTTGTCATAAAGTTTATATTGGGATTTTGGCAACATCTTATTTTTAAGGTGAACTTTTTTAACTATTCAATTTAGTTCAAATCTATGATAATCTATACTTATATTCTAAGTGTCAAAGAATATTATGTATGTTTGAATGCTTGTTTATAATATGTTTGTTTTTAAAATGTGTAATAGCGGTCGATGGGTTTTTAGTTACACCTCACAAAAATACCGTGGATTAAGAACGGGTCGCTTTTTTATTCTAATAAATATAACATGACAGAAACCACGTTGAACATATCTGAAGCGTTTGTCGGTTCGTGATTTTACGCAGCGACAGATTTACAAATCGAATCGTAATACGGAGTCTTTAGTGCAGTAGATAGATAAAATGTTAATACGACATGTTATTTAGCTTTTGTTTTGTTTAAGTCTTTGATGACATGCACTATGGACTAACTCGGAGGTGTAGTAGATAGCGCCCCTGACTTGCGCCGAGCGTCGTGGGTTCGATTCCCATACCGAGCAAACTATGATGAACAGGTATGTATGCTCCTTGGGTTTTTATTATCTTTTCCGTATGTATATATTTAAACGGGTATGTTTGTTAGTTTTTGGTACCCATAAAAACGGAATGTTTTATTGGAACGAAGTTCCCTATGGTACTTTAACTAGGACAAAACGTCCGTAACGTAAGTTTTTTTATTAGTAATGCACACAGTGTACGATTTAACTTTGTAATAACGTACAAAAAAATAACATTTTTTTTTCATTCATTGACCACGATCTCAGAGTGTTTGTTTGCGCAATACACTAACTCTTATGTAAACAACCGTGAATGAAGTGGACCACAATAAGTTCGCACGTTACCGAATGACCGTGGGTTGTTGCAAAACCTCCAGTTTTATTTTCTTTATACCTCGAATAGAACTTAAAATTAATATTTTTTTAATAAGGAACTTCGTTCCTATCCGGTGTCCCACGAGACCACGCATCTTTTTTTTTATAATGAGGCATTATGTGGTTGAATGAGGTTTTGTTATTTTTATATTCCCTCATCGTTCACAGCGCTACATGCCTCTTTCACTCATTTACCACACATCCTTACACACTTACAATAAGATAGTTTTTTTTTCTACACTATACATTCCATAGAAATCTTTTAAAATATGGCAATCTTTTTTTATTTATTTTAATTTATCCTTTACCTGAAATACGCTTCGTTATCTGTGATCTTGTTGAGGAGCTGAAGCACGCACTCGGCGAGCTCCACGCTGTCCGGCTGCTGGGCGAGGGCGACCGACAGGTTCAGTAGCAAGGAACACGCCGCTACCTGAAATCAATCGTCACCCGTTTGCATGTTACAAAACTGCATTTACACTTGGTTTGCATTACTGGTGGTAGGACCTCTTGCGAGTCCGCACGCTATCCGGTTTACTTCGATACTATTACCACACAAAATACTGTGTTTTTACTAATCCCTAAACCAGTTTTTTTTTTTTTATTGCTTAGATGTGTGGACGAGCTCACAGCCCACCTGGTGTTAAGTGGTTACTGGAGCCCATAGACATCTACAACGTAAATGCGCCACCCACCTTGAGATATAAGTTCTTAGGGTCTCAGTATAGTTACAACGGCTGCCCCACCCTTCAAACCGAAACGCATTACTGGTTCACGGCAGAAATAGACAGGGCGGTGGTACCTACCCGCGCGGACTCACAACAGGTCCTACCACCAGTAATTATGCAAATTCTAATTTTGCGGGTTTCATTTTTATTACACGATGTTATTCCTTCACCGTGGAAGTCAATCGTGAACATTTGTTGAGTACGTATTTCATTAGAAAAATTGGTACCCGCCTGCGGGATTCGAACACCGGTGCATCGTTTCAACACGAATGCACCGGACGTCTTATCCGTTAGACCACGACGACTACGGGTACGGGACGACCTAAAGAGCAATGAACTTAGAATTGATTGCGCCGCATCGGACCTAGGTGACATATTTCAATGCAAATTGTTTTTTTTTCCTGTAATTACTTCCTCAAGTAGGATACAGTTCATATGGTGTGGTTATTAAATAAAATTTACTAGTGGTAGGACCTGTTGAGTCCGCGCGGGTGGGTACCACCGCCCTGTCTATTTCTGCCGTGAAGCAGTAATGCGTTTCGGTTTGAAGGGTGGAGCAGCCGTTGTAACTGTACTGAGAACTTAAAACTTATATCTCAAGGTGGGTGGCGCATTTACGTTGTAGATGTCTATGGGCTCTAGTGACCACTTAACACCAGGTAGGCTGTGAGCTCATCCACCCATATAAGCAATAAAAAATAAAAAAAACATGTGTGGCAAAGTACAAAATCTCGTACACAGTTGTCAAGTGAGTTTCGAAGCGACATCTCAGGGGCACAATCAAACCGTACCGAGTGCATACTGACCTGGGTGTTGTTATTGAGTTGTGTGAGGCATATGAGCGAATGCATAACGGTTTCCCTGGCGGCCAGCACCAGCATCTCTCCGGGGAGGTCGCTGAAGGCATTCACCAACACTCGCATTGTCAACATTATGTTTGCCGGTAGGTTGTCTGTAAAATACATGAAATGTACAATATTAGCAATATAAGCAAGCATTTTGAAACATTTTGAAAGTTTTTTAGACTTATTAAAACACTAGAGGAATGTCTGAGAGCGTAAAGCATGTGTTATTATATTAACTGTGAACAGAGATGTGATAAAAAATGAAATTTGTCGAAATCTCACATTCATTTAAAAACAGAACGTTTAAGGTGACAAAAAAAATTTTCAAAAAATTATCATTTTAACTCGTACGATATTATTTCTTATCACACCACAGAAATAGTATAACGTTTGAAATCCCCGCGTTATATGGGGGAATACCCGTGTTATACGAGCAACTGAAATCGCGTTACAAGACTACCGTGTTATAAGAGGGCTTATTATAATTTTGTAAAAACATATCAGGACGCGACGTTTGTTACCTGGCGCCAACAACGTGAGCAGATACTGGACAAAGTTAGGTCCGTATTTAGTGTCGAACATTTGTGCATTGATCTGTTTGTTCCGGACAGCCAACCTTGTTACATCCAGTACCGGGAACAATATCTCTGGAAGCAATAATGTTCCACATCAGATACCAATTTCGAATTATTATTATTTTTTATTGGTTAGATGGGTGGAAGAGCTCACAGCCCACCTGGTGTTAAGTGGTTACTGGAGCTCATAAACATCTACAACATAAAGGTTCTAATGTCTCAGTTCTATAGGAGTTCCTACCACTAGTTTCGAATTAACAGCTTTTTACTGGTGGTAGGACGTCTGCTGAGTCCGCGCGGGTAGGTACCACCACCCTGCCTATTTCTGCCGTGAAGCAGTAATGCGTTTCGGTTTGCAGGGTGAGGCAGCCGTTGTAACTATACTGAGACCTTAGAACTCATATCTCAAGGTGGGTGGCGGCATTTGCGTTGTAGATGTCTATGGGCTCCGGTAACCACTTAACACCAGGTGGGCCATGAGCTCATCCACCATCTAAGCAATAAAAAAAAATGTGAGCCGTCACGGGACGTCTGGCACATGTGAAAAATCGACATTATTTTGTAAAAGTAATATGCAGAAAAGAACAGATTGTGATAGGAACTAAATATGTCATAATGATAAAATAAAATATTACGATTTTTTTTCCAGGTAACGATGACTATTTATTGAATAAACATTGATTTTCATTAAATAAAAAAAAATACGAATTTACGCCACACCGTACACACTACTGCATATAGACTATATTATTATATATATACCATCATATAGCATGGCGACGCGTCGCCACGGCATGCGTCGCCACGCCAGAAATAGGTTTTACGTGTTGATGTTTTTATTATATTAGATTTAGATGTTTCACATAGAGATTAGTTATAGATGTTTCACATAAAAAAATCATCATCATCTTTCTATAATCGCATTAAAGAAAAAATCAACTATTGAATTTTAATGATTCGGATAATGAAAAAAATCTACGATGTTTTGTGTGATACTGTTATGAATACACACGCATGTATTTAGCTGTAGTTTAAAATTGTACTAAAAACCACTTGGCATCAGGTGGGCCGTGAGCTCGTCCACCCATCAATGCAATAAAAAAATTGTTTTTACCTTTCGGCCATTCCAGCATTTTCTTCAATAACGTTAACGTTTCAGGATCGTGAGTGCTGTTCTGAAATAAGTAAAGTAATTATAAAAAAAAGTTCTTTAATAAATTACTAAATGACGTCATACGGATTTTTCTTGTGTTATTATTAGCAGAGGAACTCTTCGTAGATATCAGAAAGTCTATTTCCTAATTTATTTCGGGGCACAAGACAAAGTGCTCAATTGCTTATTGTAAAAACGCATTATGCAATTGTCTGAGATTTCTAACTGTTATTTTTTATTTCAGTGAAAGCTTTTTTAGCATCGTTGTAATTCGAAAGCCGATGAAACGAAAAAGCGACAGTAAAAAGAGACAGACACATACATTTATAAGAT